CCGCGGTCTTAGGGGCGAGGAGCAGGGCAGCAGCGCGTTTCTCCCTGCGCTGCTGCTGCCGTCGTTGCCGCTGCGCCTTTTTTCGGCGCTTCCGGCCCTCCTTGGCGACTCTCCTCGCCTCGCCGGCGATTTGCCACCCGCCGCCGTCCTCTGCTTGCGGGGCGGGTTCCGCCGCCGCCGCCGCAACCCCAGCCTGCCGGGCCGGAGTGCCCCTCCTCTTTTTGCGCCCAGCGGGCGCAGGCGCAGGCGCCGTCGGCGCAGCTGGGGTCTGCGCCGGCGGGGGCGCCGAGGCCCTCGCTGGGGCAGCCGGTCGCGCCTTTGCCGGCGGTTGGGAGCTGCGGCTAGCCTGACCCGAGGTCGAAGGCTTGGCCGCAGCGGCCGCGTACGACCGCGGGACCGCGGGGGCGACCTGACTCGCCGCGAGCGGGGGCCGCAAGAGCCTGCCCTCCAGCACGTCGAACCGTCGCTGGAAGGCAGCCATCTCCGCCCGCAGCAGTCCGACTACGTCGGCCTCCGCCGGGGGCTGGGGGCGACTGCCGCGAGCAGCGGCGAGCTCGGCCCTGGCCGTCCGCAGCTCGGCCTCTAGAGCCGCATTGGAGGCCGCCAAGCGCGCCAGCTCTCGCCGCATCTCGGCCAGCTCGGCGCGCACCTTTCCCGCAGTGGGCACCGCACGCTGCTCCAAGGCCGCCTCTGTTATAGTGGCCGCCGCCGCCTTGAGGAGGCGGAGCCTAACCGGCTGGGATTTCCCCATCGCCAGCTTGTAGAGCTCCGCCGTAATGGCCTGTTCGAGGCCCCCGGAGCAGCTCTCGCTCTCAGAGCCGCGCTCGCCCTCCGACATCTCCACGCCGGACATCTCGGCCGCAGAGGACTCCGAGCGGGCAGCGGTCGAGAGAGCCCTGCCCTCCGCGGCCAGCTGCTCGGCTGACTCCGCACAGACAGCTGGTGCCGGTTTCCGGCGACCGCTGTTCTTGCCGCCCCTACCCCGCGCTGCCGTGGGGATCTTGGGGGGAGGCGCCTCCTGAGCGCCGGAGGACGGGGACAAACTGTCCTCCTCCAGCCTGGGGCGCTTGAACGTCCCCGTCGCGCGGTGGCGTGAGCCCTTCGAGCTCACGCTCAACCGCTCCGCTAATGACGTGTCGGACTCGGAGTCCGACCCCGTCCGAACTGATGCCCGTGTGTGGGGCACGCTAGACGTGTCCAGCGTCTCCCCACGGGCGCCAGAGCCCCTTGGGCTCCCTCCTACCGCCTCAGCAGGCGAGCCAAGCTCACCCGCACTCTCCTCCTCTAAATGTGGTTTTTTATTTTGATGTTTCTCCATAAAGTTCCCACGAGTATGGGGGAAATATTCGGTCCACCCAGGCAGTGCCCCCTGTACCTGGGTAAGTGAAAATTTGTTTCCCAACTAGAGGGTCCACTGGTCCCCTAGCTGGGGGTGCGCTCACGACTGACACTACTCCTCAGCCATGCATACTCTCGCCGCGCACCAGAACTTAGTATTGGAGGAATTTTTTATAGAGGTTATCTTCCTCGCGGTCCGGGCGACCAAGCCAAGACCCTCGTCCCGTTCAGAGTCACAAAACATGACCGTGACCTCCTTACGGATTACGATATCGACGGCTGCAATCGGGGACAGCTTGTGTCCCGATGCTGCTCGCTGGCAGGGTGAGTGCACAGCGAGCACCGCCCTTGCCTCTCCGCCACGCTCTCTGCTACGTTCAGAGAGACAGGCGGAGAAACGCCCCACGGAAGCGCGGGCCATGAGCACACAGCCCGCCGCCTCCAGAACCCTGTCGGGTTCGCCCGCCCAGTCCAGAAGTCTGCTGCGGGCGACAGTCACTCCAACCCTATCACCCCCGCTAGGGAGACTGTCGCCCGCACCCAGGGTGCACCACGGGGAGGTCTTCTGGCACCGCACCCCAAGAAATTTAGTCTAGGTCAGTATCACGTGAGTAGTAAAACTTGACATTGAAAGTCAAAAAAGGTTAATATGAATAATTTTATGCGAATTTACACTAAAGTATTATACCAATATCAAGAACGTTGATAAAAAGCGGACAGTCTCTTTAAACAACGACTGTGGCACCTTTTTTGAGGGGCGAAAATCATACAATGACTGCTCCCGCCTGAGTGAGGCGGGAGGGAGTGTCAGACTCTTACTGACTAAAAACCATCCCGTTCCTTCTCCTGCGCTTCGAGCCGGAGCCCCGGTAACCCGTTAGGTTCTCCGCGACTCTGGATTGGCATCAGCCTTGTTGGGCCCCATCCTCTGATGGCTCTTTGAGGCGTGCGCGGTACGCGACACGCCGTTCCTCGGATCTGGTTCTGGTCGGACGGTGAGCCACCCATGTTAGTAAGGCCTGCGCTTACGTTGGCCGGAGATCGCCCCGCGATCCCCTACGCCCGGTGTAAGGAGTGTAGTAAATAACCCCCTGACGTTGACTGATGCTTCAATCATTTGTAAGTGACATTATGTCCGCCTTTTTTCAACGTCCTTAACAAATACACACGGACTGACATTTTGTACGATTTATTACGTAATTATTCGAAGTGATAAATGAGATGATTTGTTGTTAATAATCTTATAGAATCCGACATTATTCTTAGCATGGAGTAAATTAATAGACTCGCCTAGAATAACAAGCTACATTTTCTATGTAGGAGTTGCTTTGAGTAAAATAAAAGGCGTACAAATTGTCCATCTTAATGACAAGTTCGTATGGTATAAAATGTCTACGTTAAGTATTTAATTGTACGTGCTAGTTTCAGTCCATAATAGATAAATAAACAAATAAAAAAATTTGAAGTAGGTATGTACCAACCATCGGCCAATCAAACTTTTGGGTACCTAATAAATATTGCAGATTTTTAACTCAGTACTTGTATTTGACAATAGGTTCACCCTCTAATACAATAGGTTTTGTGTTTTTTTATGGAATAGGAGGCAAATGAGCAGACGGATCACCTGATGGCACCTGCAACACCAGAGGAGTAGCAGGTGCGTTGCCGGCCTTTTAAAAAGAAATACGCTCTATTCTTGAAGATTTGAAGGTTCGGTTCGGAAATACCGCCGATGACAGATCATTCCACAGTTTTGCTGTGCGAGGCAGAAACCTACGAGTTAATTGAAAAACACATTTCATCAGATAAATTACAACTAAATACCTACTTTAATAGGTTTAATAATTTCCCTCAGCTCCGCTCCAATAGTTGCAACATCGCCAAAACTGTTGCAAACTTACAGAGAAACAGATTCAAGCAAACTAGTAACTAGTTCCGATTTCAAGTTTGCATCTACATGAGATGTAAAGCTTTCTCAAAATATTTCTAGCCAGATGGTATTTCTTCGTAGTGGTACCAAAATTTATGTAGTTTTCTGAGTACCTATATTATAAGATTCCTACCGCGAGATTACTATTATAAAATATCTCTGATAGTTGAAGACCTAAACACAACGCATGTCAAAATAATTTATATTGTACTTGGTATATCGTACAAACATGACTATTTTTAAATCGAAACCTATGTAAGTAAATTGTTGTTTTTGTTTTTCTTTTATATAATTTTAATCTTAAGTTGTATATATTTTATTATTAATTTAGTAATAGTTAATTTTAATATTATTTAAGTTTTTATTGGAAATTTAATAAAGGTTACAAGAAGTAAAAAAAAAAAGAAGTATTTTCCGTTCGTTAACCTCATTAAAACTCGGGAACGGCTGAACTGATTTGACCAATTTTAGTCTTAAAATGTTTGTGGAAATCCTGGGAAGGTTTAAAAGTGGAAGGACCAAGGAGGTTTGCCGGGTCAGCTAGTGAAGAATAATTTATTAACTTTAACACTCCCCTGAGAAGAGAAGATGATAATACCCATGGCATTAAGCCCACTTTGTACAAAGGTACGTACAACAAGCCTTTTAAAATCCCTGAGGACACGGTGGAACACACGGTGGGAGAATGCCCTTCGTGGGCTGAGCACCGCCGTGTCCTCAGGGAAGTGATCGGCGATGGCGACCTCTCGCGTCCGGGCCTAGTGCGGGCCATGATGCGGAGCGAGGGGGACTGGGATACCGTCTCCTCCTTTTGCGAAGCAGTCATGCTAGCTAAGGAGGAGGAGGAGGAGGAGGAGGATGCATGCGGGACGCGTGAGGCAGCGAAGCGCTGCCTCCTCGCAACCCAGCCATCGCGAAGGACACACCGGGCGTCGGGGATCGCGGGACGATCTCCGGCCACCGTAAGCGCGGGCCTGCGGACGGCGAGCATGGGTGGCTCCCCGTCCGACCAGAAACAGACCCGAGCGTACGGCGCGTCGCGTTCCGCGCGCGCCTCAAAGAGCCATCAGACCACCACAGATGGGGCCCAATAGGGCCGATGCCGATTCGGAGTCGCGGAGAACCTAACGGGTAACCGGGGCTCCGGCTCGACGTGCAGGAGAAGGAACGGGGTGGTTTTTAGTCAGTAAGAGTCTGACACTCCCTCCCGCCTCACCCAGGCGGGGGCAGTCATTCGATGATTTTCCCCCCTTAAAAAAAAAAAAAAAAAAAAGCCTTTTAAAATAATAAAATAACCTCTGTTGAATCATCAATTATACTTTGACTAGCTACTTCTGCGCGGTTTCACACGCTCTGCTCAGCTCCTATTGGTCGTAGCGTGATGTTTTATAGCCTATAGCCCTCCTCGATAAATGCACTATCCAACACAAAAAGAATTATTCAAATCAGACTTGTAGTTACGGTGATTAGCGCGTTCAAACAAACAAACAAAAAAACAAACTCTTCCGCTTTATATAATACTTAGTATAAGATATAAAATCAATATTCTTATGAGTGAAGGTAAACAAGTGCCATGACCATCTATTATTTAATGTATTTCAGGAACAACATAGTAGGTACCTACTCCAACATGATCGTATGATATTTACAAAATTCAATCTTATTCGAGGAATTAGCGGAAGTTTTGATAAACATATAGACAATAGAGAACGCTCTAGAGTCGATGGGTAAAGTAAACACTAATTGGTCACTTGTAGTGTATCCTTCGAGAGAACACGTTTTGTAGATAGGGTAATATGTCTTTCTGCAACGCTTTTGGTAAGAAATTTATAAATTTATTTTCTATTTTTAAGTTGTTTCAAACATTAAACAAATGTCAACCAACATCACCAAGTTATAATCTTTATTAGATTTCAAGTGTCTTTATGGCAGAAACGGCCAGTAACATTTTTACATCACTTTAAAAATGATAGTCCTGAATTAATGCCTGCACACTCATTAAGAATTGAAGTGCAGTTCACAAACTACTATTAAAAACAAAAACGACGAAAAGGCTTTTCATTTCCGCAAAATTAATTAAAACCTACAAAATACTGCTGCACCAAACCTTGTTATGAAAAGTTGGTACGTTTCTCACCGCACCGGGCAAATTGCCAAGTACCTAACATTTCAACATCTGTTCACATTTCGAGAATGGATCGGAACTTTCGTATACCTTACGGGTGGAACAACTCTGTTATGTTGTAGGTAGTTAGTTAGTTACGATATGTAGGTAGTTAAATAGGTAACTGCCTACATTGGAACGTAATATTTCATGTTATTCTGCGAAGCAAATTTTTAATGTAACACCCACTATTTACTAGTCTTATTAGAAGTACAGGACGAATATCAGATATTGTGGGAGACTCAATGTCATACCATCATCGTTAGTGACTGAATTTGTAGAATAAAAACTTCAATAACATTTTACCCATTGGGGTCAAACCCACAATCTTAATAAGCTCAGTAATTGGGCTTAAAATACTCAACTAACAATATCATGTCTCTGAGTATTGACTGTTAAAATAGTTGGTAGGTTACCGGGACTCCAGCTCAGAATAGGAGCAGTTTTTACTCAGTAAGATTCTGACAATCTATCTCGCACGGCGGTAAAAATCATTGGATGATTTTCCCCTCAATAAAAAGCAGTACTGATTCAATTATGTTTATAAGTAATTAATTCAGTTTAAATTTTCAGTGTTCTGTATAGTATGTTCTATATTACTCATGGTAGAAGCTCACGGACCTCCAAAGGAGAGAGACAACGAAGACATTGCGATGGGGCGGAAGGTAAAAAAAGTAATTTGCGACATTACTCCTTCTTTTCCTTTATTGTTAACCTATGCAAATACTGTATTAATTTCTATATTTTATGAAGATTTGACTAACAATTTTCTTTAACGAATAAATATGTGAGTAAAATACCTATCGTTGCTGATGTTACATTTTTTGGAGAGCGGGTAAGTACTTAACTCATCGATATCTTAACTCTAATAGAAATTTTAACTAGGAAGGTAAACCGCTTACATATTAACTGGTTTTTTTTTTTAATTATTGGCCAAAATAATTAATTTAAACCACTTATATTCTGTATTTTAAGATTTATTACAATATATTTTGGACAGAGTATACGTCGACTCCACACACCAAAGTATGACAGAGCTGTCTGTTACCTTTATCAACCTTATATAATGCAATATAGTGTTGGGGCCATAACTTACTAAAATAGTGATGTGCATTATGTCACACTAATGACTCTTAAACTTTGATTTATTTTTCTATATCAGTGAAGTATTTACATATGTGACTAATTATTATGTTTCCAGCTTATTCACGTAACTGATTGACGAAGAACTCGACTAGTTTAGGCCATGCTACTGACAGTCGCCGCGTCGCAGGTCGCGGAATGCTGCTCATGAATATGAGCCTCTAGCATGGCTTGAAACTAGTCGAGTTTCTCGTTAAACAGTTACGTGAGAAAGCTGAAAGCATAATAATTAATTAGTATGTCTCACGAAAGTTATATAATATAATATCATAATATCACGCCTTTTATCCCCGAAGGGAAAGGCAGAGGTGCACATTATGCCACTGCACAATGAAACACCCACTTTTCACTATTTATGTTATGAGTCCCATGTAATAGGGGGTGAGCCTATTGCCATATACCGGGCACAATTCCAGACTCCGTGCCACTACTGAGAATTTTTCAAAAAGCTAGTAATACTTTGCCTGACCCGGGAATCGAACACGAGACCCCTTGCCCGGCAGTCAACTAAACAACATACGAAAGTTTTAACATATTTAAATGTGACTTTGTAAATAATAATTACATTTTACCCGCTTTGTGGGGCTTACAGTGTTAAAATAACGTACGTAGTATTAGTGTTACATTTCCTCGTATATACATTGTATACTGTCAACCATTATTTCTATTCCAACACGAACATATGTTCATAAACGGCTATCAGACACTGGTACAAGTGAGAACCACGAGTCGTTGTAGTTTGGCGCGCTGCCATGACACCCAGCCATGTTTGAACATTATTTAGTGATAGTATCTATGTTTACATATACCTAGCATCCGAATAACATCATAGTCCACCAAAGTGTAGACAGAATAGAGCTTATATACTTGCAAGTGTGGGAGAGGCATGCTTCGGCACGAATGGGCCGGCTCGACCGGAGTGATACCCCGGCCTCGCAGAAAACCGACGTAAAACAACGCTTGCGTTGTGTTTCATCGTGTGTGAGGTTACCAGTGACCCAATTACCCCCCCCCCACCCATCCCTCCGCAATCTTCTCAATCCCTGAACCCCCAACAATCCTCTAATACCTGATTCCCAAAAAGGCTGGTAACACATCTAGTGTTCCACGTGTCCATGGGCGGCGCCGATTGCTTACCAGGTGACCCGTCTGCTCCCACCGGCTTATCCCATGAAATTTGTTTTTGAAACAACCCAAAATCACTTCCGCCCTTAAAATTGTAGCTAAGTAAAGACGTTTACCAATTAAGAGATTTTGGTCATTTTTTGTCCAGTAGTACATTTTCAACCGTTGCAACTCCTATTCAAAATTCTTTTATTCACATTTAGGTACCTATAATTAGAGTACACCTATAATTAGAGTTCCGATGAATAAGAAGTACCAACATGCTTTACTTATAGTACATCTGCAATATCTCATTGACAAAATTAAATTATTTAAGTACAAGAAGAAATGTAGATTTCTTCAACTTGTTACATTAACATTTCAATTGATTTTCAGGATAAGACCCGGCCACGCCGCTTTGTAAGTTATCATTTAACTTATAAGTATTTCGTATTAATCTACTCCTGTCCCTTTTAATATGTTTTGTTACAGATGGGAGCTAAGTGGTGCAGTATGGCGAAGGTCTGCAACCACGACCGCGTGCCTATCTGCGGTTTAAGCCACGCTGGAGACATCATGGGGTTCAGGGATCTCTGTGATATGTTTGACTACAACTGCATCAGGAGGAGAAGTTAGTACTGTGTCAACTTTATGTTTAGACTAGCTGTTTCCTGCGACTTCGTCCGCGTAGAACGTGATGACTGTTTTATCCCATAGGAGCATTTAATCGAGATAAAATATCCTAATAAAAATGTCACTTATGTCACCCCATAGCCTGTATACCTAATTTCATGAAATCCGTTCAGTAGTTTTGGCGTGATTGACGGACAAACTGAACAAAGAAACTTTCATATTTTTAGTATTAGTGTGATTGTTTATTTTGATCCTTAACTAGTAAGCCTTAAATGTAACGAAGCTAGTTGCTTAGGATATATGTTGGGTGCAATTCAAAATCGAGTGGAGCCCATTCAACGACAACCAAATATTGGACCCGACAGACGTTGTCCTGTATATTATGATATTTCAAGCGATAAGGGTATTAAAAAACTATAAAATGAAAGACCAATAAAATAATAATTATTATTGTTTGTTTAGGATAAATAACCTAGACATCGACTGCAGCGGCCTCTGCCGGGGCTTATTTGTTAATCTAACCCATCCAGGGCGCCACTCAAACGCATACAAAAAATCATTTAAATCGGTCAAGCCGTTTAGGAGGAGTTCAATGACATACACACGTACAGCAGAATTATATATATAAAGATAAATAAGAAGTAGGAGATCATTGCATACTAAATGACATAGCTGCCTGTAGTTTTACTCTAGTTCTGCCAATCAGTTCAGGGTAAAACAGAAATAATGTAACCTCTTTCAATCCATTTAGCGTTGGGTAGCTACAACTGTCGGCGTGTGCAGAAGTAGACAGATCGAAAGTCACAATGATTGACGCTCGATTAGCAGTGATGTATTAAACTTACGTGTTCTAACCAAGAATATCGTACGATATTATATATCTTAATTTACAAAATAAATTTTATTTTTATACCTAAATTTATAAATATATATATATTAATAATATCATTTGAACCATTAAAAATATTTTTTATGAAACATAAAAGGAATTGTAAAAATTATTATCATAAAAATATCATTTTATATATTTTTCCATATTCTAGGAATCTTTAAATTATTCCCTGCTTAGAATCATTAAGGAAGATTTTTTTTGCAAAGAAGGTTACGATGAAACTTGATTTAAGGACAGATTAAGATTTGTATAGATTATTTGTAAACATGCTAGAGAGATTACGGTGGATTCATAGACAAACAAAATAATAGAAACAAAAAACAAAATAAAAATTTTTTTCAACATAAATAAATACTTTAAAAAGGGTGGTAGGGAGACTTTTTCCTGCAGTGGTTCCGGCTGAAAATAAATAAAATGGAAGATAACATTACCCCTAGCTTACTCCTTTAATAACTATAAAGTTACACAGAATGTCCCAGAAGTCGACGATCAAATGGCACCAAGTGATCAAATGGCACCAAGTGATCAAATGGCACCAAGTGATCAAATGGCACCAAGTGATCAAAAGGCACCAAGTGATCAAATGGCACCAAGTGATCAAATGGCACCAAGTGATCAAATTGCACCAAGTGGAATGTGAGGCAATTTTATAAAAAAAAATCTCGAGCCGGATAAAGCGTGTTATGAAAAAAAATCAACAAGGTTCTAACAGTTGTCCGAAGAATATATTAAAAAATCGAAGTCATATAGTTTTTAAATTACAATCACTTATGTGTGTTTATGTTCAAAGGAAAGCTATTTATATACAGCAAAAATATTTACAAACAAAATAATAATACAACTGCGTTATTTACCTTCAACACTGTATTTATGTACGTGATCTGAATGTCGTGTCAAAACAACCCCGTTTTGAAGTCACTAGAGAAAACAAACATATTGGCGTACTCAAGTAATATGAAAGATATTTATAGATATTTTTGCTTTTGTAAGTTAATAGTTAGGTTCCTTTTTTGTACTGTAATATACTTAGGTAGGAATCCTATTAATATTACAAATACGGATGCTTTTGAGGATATAAAAATGTTTTATTAATATTTTATACAAAAAGTACCGATGTGAACCAGATAGGTAACATCACGCCTTTTACCCCCGAAGGGGTAGGCAGAGGTGCATATTACGGCACTTAAACATACCGGTCACAATTCCAGACTCCGTGGTAGCACTGTGTTTTTTATCAAAACCCAGAAGGAAAGTCCTCCTGGGTTTTCCCGATTCGGCGATCGAGCCTGGGACGCTTTGCCTGGCAGTCGCACTTGCGACCACTCGGTCAACGACAAAGCCCAAAATAATATGAACCAAACTTAACGAAAATTGAATAGAAGCGCTAGATGAAGTTTGATATCTCATTTTTAAATTGATCGCAATTTTTGGTTAAAAGATCATCATCTATACAGAGTTATGTTTGTCCTAAGTTTAGTTTATAGATGACCAAATATGTATAGCCAGACGGATTGAGGAACCAAAAATCTAGATTGCTGCAACACACCTCTTCGTGAAGATGATGCAACAGCAACCCACCTCTCCGTATCTAGTCGTAGTTAAAAATGTAGAACATAATTATACTAATCTTATAACTACAACCACCTATCAGTAAACTATTATCATGAAATTCTAAATCCTATTTGACAAGAAAACAATATTCAAAATGCCTATTTCTATAATTGTTCACAGATTATAAGCAGACGCCATGTCCCGATGACCGCACGCAGCTGACCGTCTCCCGGCGACCCACCAACAGCTATTACGATGATTAAACTAATTCATTAAATACCCAATCCCTTTGAATATTCCAATGTTATTATTAAACAATATTTAGACAATTTATTCCTTAGGTTAATAAATGTGTACCACCACTATTGTATTGGTTGTTTCATTTTAAATCGCATATCGCTTATCATTTTTTATGCAATATCATGCAGACAGATCACCTGATGGTAAGCGACAAACGCCACCCATGTTGTACACCCGCAATATCAAAGAATTCATAAGTGCGTTGCTGGCCTTACCTTTCTTATAACATAACATCACGCTTTTTATCCCCGAACTGGTAGGCAGAGGTGCGCATTACGGCACTTAATGCCACTGTATAAAGTAACACCCACTTTTCACTGTTTATGTTATGAGTCGCATGTAATAGCATGTAATAAAACCCTTTCTATGATAAAAGGCGTGATGGTATGCTAAGTACCTATACCTGATAAGTTAGTACTCAAAAATCTATTTATCTATTGCTTTTATTTATCATTTGCTTTCTTTCTAGTCCTTTTCAAATTATTCGTCCAATAATGGTCAACCAACAACGTAAAAGTAATTTGCATTTTAATATCAGTTCTCTCGGACAGAACATAGAAACTGTTTTCCCGTGACAATTACATCCCTCAGAATATAAACTAGATGTTGCCACGTGCCAACATCATTTGTTTAGTTTTTTACACGTTCCAGCTTTACACGTGTCGATATAGTTGACCTTTCTTTAAGATTCTTCTTTAGGGATAGGTACTTTATAAATCACTAGCAGCCCGTCCCGGCTTCGCACGAGGTAGACATTTTTTTTTCAAAATTAAATGTAGCATTCTATTGGTGAAAGAATTGTTTAAATCGGCCCAGTACTTTTTGAGCTTATTCATTACAAACATACAAAAATAGGTACCTACAAATCTTTTCTCTTTTGTATTAGTATAGATAACAATGATACCCAATGTTCTGTTTAATGGTTTAATTCGAGTCATAATATAATGTAAATTGATGATCAGTAAAAAATTTGCATTTTGTAAGTGTACCTCTAAGTCTATACAAAGTAAAGTTGAAGAGTTTGTTTGTATGTTTCAACGCGCCAATCTCCGTAACTACTGGTTTGAATTGCAATAATTTTCTGTTTTCGTTAGATAATTTTATCGAGGAAGGTTATATGCTGTAATGCATCACAATACGATCAATAGGAGCTGGAGAAACCGCATGGGGGAAGTTAGTACAAATATAAACCTACAGACATACGTACAGACATATATACATAACAGCATAAATATATTTATTACGATTTAAGATTTTAAACGAAATTAAATGTTACGTATTTTGATTTCATATTTGGGTTTTTAAGCATGGTTTTTGAGTTAATAGGCACACTTTCTGCTATGCATCAACTGACCAACTGGGACTAAAAAGTAGATTAAGTTCGTAGATATTTCCAATTCCATAATCCTCACATCAACAACGGCAACGCATTTGCAACACCACTGGTGTTTCGGGTGTCCATAACCAGCTCCGATTACTTAGCATTCGATGAACTATATGCTCGTTTTGAGGCCTATCCCAGAAAAAAAAAGAAAAGATTCATGATGTACCACCTACCTATGCACATTCTGTAGAAATAAATTATGACGAGTACTAATATTTATTACGAAATTATAAGTTAAGCAACTTTGAAGATTACAATTTGACATTAAGTTTAAATATTTAATGTTTAATGTCAACGTATTCTAGATGCAACAGTTGCATTATTAAATTATGTATGTAGTGTGAAATGTCATTATTATACGAATACAATATTTAACATATTAAAAGCAACACAGAATAAAAGACAGATATTATTGCTGGTTGGATATATATTTTACACAGTTACATTTTAATTATGTACAATACATTTTATCCCTGAAGAGGTTGAACACCCACTGGGTGGGGCTTGAGACTAAAATCATAACGCCTTATACATGTAGAAACATAGAGCAAGCGTTATTTTACGCCACTTTTCAGGCCATGGATTCCTCCAGTCGAGCCGGCCCATTTATGCCGAATCATGAATATCCCATATAGCCGACGGATTACCTGATTGTTGCATTCGACGTGGACAGCCGCACCATCCAAGAAGTGGCAAGAATGTTGCCGACCTTTTAAGCATTAGGGGTTTTGGGATTGAGGATGAAGAGGGGAGTATTGGCCCTCCGGCTGCCTTACACACACGTCAAAATACAACGTAAGCGTTGTTTCACGCCAGGGTTCTATGAGGCCATGGTTTACCGCAGTTGAGCCGGACCATTCGTACCGAAGCATGGCTCTTACATGAACGCTTTACTCCTTCACTTCTTCGTAACCATTCACCATACAGTATAATAATAACTATATTCAGAATTACAAGAACTTTACGCCTACATTAGCTTCTTCAATACTAATAACATCCTGTCATTGTCTATCCGTTTCCATCAACAATGCAAGTCTCCTCTACTTCATACTGTCCTTAGATGTCAACAACTTAGTCCGTCAATGTTTATTTTATAATGTTTGTAATAATTAGAACCATATTATTATTATTAGTGTTATTACCATTGTTGATTGATTCTCATGTGATTGGTGATAAAAACCACCTTGTAAGTATGTTATATGTTTTTGTTTTATAAATGGTTATTGTTATAATAAATATGACACAAAATATTGTCGTACAAGATCGATATTTTCAAAGATTTAGCTGAATTTTTTGAGAAAAAATATCAAAGAGAAGAGACATCATCGAAGACATAAGGATAGATTAAGTCAGCCATTTTTGAGATTGGCGAAAGTAAGTAAGTCGTTCATGGGATTATGTGTTAAATGTTAGAACACAATACCAAGCGATATGCAACACCTAAGTGAAACGAAATTTAAATTATGTATAAAAAAACTTTATGTAGACATGCATATTACAAAGTTAATGAATATATAGAGGATAAAAATGCTTGAATGCTCACTGGTCCAGCTCCACGGGATAACGAAAAACACTGATGTTTCAATGAAATCCAAACATGTAAATATTACAACCTAGTTGCTAAAATGTATATTGCTTGCATAATCATTGTAAATGTGAGAGCCCTGTAATTAACTTAATATTAAATTGGACTAGTAGAATGCATTTATGTCAGCTTGGGGTTGTCATGTTCTCTCAAAGATCTCATTGGCGGTGACACGTGCATTGGATCGCTAGATTCCCTGCAATATGGTTGAGTCGGGCGGTGCTGGTGTACGTGTCATGGTCGTGAATGGGCGCCGTCAACTAGGACTGGTCAGCTCCAGACTGTATTATTTATTGTCTTTAAGGTTATTTTCTTTTTCGATCTCTTTGGCTGGATTTTGGTGTTACATTGTTCTCGCACAATCGAACCAATAAAACTGTGTAACTGAAGAATTGTATTGTGAAACTGATTGGAAAAGAGTTACCTATTAGTAGGGGAGCCCATGATGCTAAATTGGGATTTACTTGAGCGTCCTTGGGACCTACTGGATTTTGAAGATATGCTGATAGAAAGAAGAAATGATTTAGTGACAATTTCTTCCACCAGTGGGGGAAGGAGGAATCTACAGATCTTTGAAATTGTTAAGCGTAACTTTTGTTCTAGTGGTCGAGCGTGTCAGATATTGATAATGTACATGCTCCATGTGTATTTAATAATAAAAAACTCTCAATCTGCCAGTTTGCATGGTGGGGTTGAATGTTCTGGAGAGTACAAACGAGAACCCTTCAAAATCCCCCCACTCTTGCAAATCAAGTTGGAATGGGCAGATTTTTTAAACGCACTTCCTTTAGCACGGTATTGACCTACCTTCCCTTAATCTGACGAAACTGACTTTATTTAGTCAGTCTTTTTTTTTAATTTTCAGTCCCCCCCTTCTAATCAGATCGGATATATGTTGGGTATATTCAACATGACACTAGGTTTTCCCCATATGTTAATCTGACGCGCTCGAGTAACTACCGAAATCTCTTCATGGGCTCCCCTACTATATGGAGTTTCTTGCTCGTTCTTCTCCATAGGAATCTACACCTTGGAATGAGCAAATAGCTTCACTTTTAAATTTCTATTGCTGACGTTCAAAAGTGCCTTCCTGGTCTAATTGAAATAAATTTTAATGACTTTGACTTTGACAAAATAAACTGGAGGTCACAATGCAGTGCAGTTTCGTTTAAGTTAAAACATAACTTAAGTGAAGTACACTAATTTGGCCACAACCTCGCCTGGTAGTACGCGATGATACGGCCTACAATGGAGCACGCTTGTTCATATACAACATTTCCACTCGGGCCTCGAAAATACCTAGGGCACCCTTCGGGAAATACAGACCTTTATTACCCATTAGGTATTAGTTATTATTATTCAGAACACTTTATTAATTTTTAACCACATTTTCAGACTGAGTTGAAGAAAGCTTGTGAGAATGCGTATATATGTTTCCACGACCAGGTCATCGTATGTGGCAAGTCCGTGAACGAAGCGAGAACGTTTTTAGACTTATGCGATTTATTTGAATATTCCTGCGAACACAATATGGGTACGTATTACTTAAATTTATGTCGTGACGCAAATCCTAAACTAGCTCCTTACTTGTTTGTAACGCTACGTCCTGCGTGAGCGATCTAGAGGTGAATGCGGAGCGTTGCGGCGCGGCGCGAAAACAACAAACTGGCGAAACATATTGAAGTGTTCCACGTCACAATACGAACTCCGTTTCGCCACCAGATGGCTTCGTTTTATGTAACATTTTGTTTGGTGATTAAAAGGTGAAGAAATATTTTGTCCTGAATTTTTTTCGCTATAAACCTCACGGAGCCCGAGACCTTTCCAACAAATATAAAACCGTGGAAATCGGTTTGTGCGTTAGTTAGTTGCGGTTTGTAAGTTATAGCGTCAGGAAGGAAAACCCGACTTATTTTTATATAGCAGATTTTCGGAACCTTGATGCCATTTAACATATTTATATGTCACGTAATATGATTTCTTATATTTTTCGTTTTTTCCCAGTTTTCCGCCATGTCAAAGATGAAGAAGGTGTTTGTCCAGATCCAAGAACAATATCAATGGGCTTGGGATAACTTTAAAAATCAGACATATAGACTAATATTACCCGATTTTATTTATTACCTAAATCGTATAACCATTCGTTTTTGCATTTAAATGTACCATTTAATCTAGAGAGATTTATATGTGATGTAGGTATGTCAATTCAAAGTCTGAAACCTTGTTTATTATATTTTAGTGTAATAAGCCAGTAAACGAGCAGACGGATTACCTGATGATAAGCAATCGTATATAGCCACCCATAGTCACCTGGAACACAAAAGGCGTTACAGGTGCGTAACCGGCCATCTGGGAATTTGAGGATTGTTGGGGATTCGGGGATTGGGGAGACTGGGGAGTAATTGGGCCTCCGCGCTCCGGTAACCTCACTCACACGACAAAACACAACTCGAGCGTTGTTTCACGTCGGTTTTCTGTGAGGCAGTGGTATCTGGTCGAGCCGGCCCCTGTGGCTCTCCCAATACTTAAACTTTTATTTATTACTTTCGTGAGAGATGTTAAATTAATTATTACCTTTTCCGTTTTACTCACGTAACTGTTTGATGAGGAACTCGAGTAGTTTCAAGCCATGCTAGAGGCTTATATTCTCATGAGCAGCATTCTGCGACAGTCGCCTCAGAATTCAAGTTTCAGAATATAATTACTCTGAAACCGTGTTATTTTTTATATTCTAGTTTATTAGATTGCTAGTAAATTATTATCTTAATGTCAAATATCATTTGTTTTCAATCAGTCACGAGTTTCTTAACAATTTCCGTTATTGCATGAGAAACAGTAAAATAGTTACGATATTTTTATGTGTATATAATAAATAGTGAAGAAAAATTACTTGATTTTTTATTTTGAAGCTTCAAAATGTATTCGTATAGGAAGAGATTATGATGCATAACAATGATAGCATATTTAGGTAAGTATCGTTTAAATTGATTTTTAGAGAAGTCTATTTTTATTGTTTACAAACTGACGTAAGGTTTCCAAAAATAATTAAAATATACGGTTTACTTACAATGTCATTGCATCGTTGGGTACGTGACAGTAATCGCAGGGCACAACTCATTATGAATCCCGGTGTGCCTCGAAACTAATCGAGCTCTCTTGAATAGTAGGTATACGGGAGTAAACCATGTATTTTAATTGATCCAGGTCTTTTGCGACTCAAACACTCTTAATAATATAATTTAGTTCCTTTTTTACATGTTTGTAACTCTTTTCATCTGAATTACTGTTACATGAGAACAAAATAATATCATTATTGACGAACCTAAGGCCCATAGCACACGGCGTATTTTCATACGCTCAAGCACCGCGCAGAGGACGTGCGTATACGCTCTTCATGCGAAATTCGTACGCAACCTTGTAATCTAAGCACAAGGGTCTTTACGGTGCGTATACGCACAGTAGTCGCTTGTAACACACAATAAAACATTTAATTATTAAGTATAGTTATCTATACTAATCTATACTAATATTATAAAGAGGAAAGATTTGTATTTTTGTATTTTTGTATTTTTGTATGTTTGTAATGAATAAACTCAAAAACTACTGGACCGATTGCAATAATTTTTTCACCATAAGAAAGCTGCATTATTCAGAAGTAACATAGGCTATATAATATCACGCTAGGTCTTATAGTTGTGGAGCAGTAACCAAAAATGTTTTAAAAACGGGGAAAAAGTATCGTTTCTGAGGCCTTCCGTGGCGTGCGCTGAGCATATAGTTAAAGTTATACAAAAATGCTCTATGGATGAATTGTTCATCTTAACATTATTTTTAAAAAAGTCCGCGAGAGCATATGTCTACCTTTTATAGTTTACCCATAACAATAGTTTAAATAAATGGTTCAATCCTTATAAAAGTTTGCTCTAGATAACTTTTGAATTGTTCAATCGGTTACCTAAAGACTATTAATTCATCCAAAAGGTACCTATTAGGTAAGTACTTATGTACTATTTCAAAAATAATAAACTGAGAATAAATTAAATATAAATAAAACGTAAAACTATGTAAAAAATCTTAAGTCCCCCCGTGCGAAGCCGGGACGGGCCGCTAGTTATAGAATATAAATATAATTATTTATTATAAAAAATATAATTGAAAACGCTATCATGAAACACGCTTCAAATACGTATATACACGCTTCATGCGCGTGCTTGTATTATCAATGCAAAAGCTACAGACGGTGTTTATGGCGCGGAAGACGCGCGTTGCCTGCGCGTATAAAAATACGCCGCGTGCTATGGACCTAATTTTAACCAGATGATTATATGGAAACATTCATTCCAGGTCTTATGATATATTTAATATCATCGATAGATGCTCACAGCGAAATAACGAAAGTAAGTTAATATTGTACACATGAATTCTACACTTTTCACTATTTTTTTATGAGTCCCATGTAATTGGGGGTGAGCCTATTGCCATATACCGGGCACTAATCCAGACTCCGTACTACTTCGGAGTTCTTGGGTTTTAAAAAAAACCAGTAATACTTTGCCCGACACGGGAATCGAAACCGAGACCTCTTGCCCGGCAGTAGCACTTGCGATTACTCGGCCAATGAGCCAGTATACTCTACATAAGGGGATTTTTATGGAATAAGAAGGTAATCGAGCAGACGGAGTAATCGGCGCCACCCATGGACACCGGAAACATCAGAGGTGTTACAAGTGCGTTACCGGCCTTTTGGGGATTCGGGGTTTGGGGAGATTGGAGAGGAGGGTAATTGGGCCTTCCGATAAGCTTACACTTGAGAAGCATATTGGAGGTCACATAAGTACATATTATATTAGAGTGTATTATAACTTTCGTGAGACATAGAGGTACTAAATTAATTATTATGTTTTCGGCTTACTCGCGTAATTATTTGACAAGGAATGCGACTAGTTTCAAGCCATGCTAGAGGCTCATATTCATGAGCAGTATTCCGCGACCCCCGACGCGTCTTTGGCACTGAAACTAGTCGAGTTCCTCGTCAAATAATTACGTGAGTAAGCCGAAAACATAACAATTAGGTATATTAGAGTCAGCTGCTCTGTTAAATATGTCTCACTATCAACTTATTAAACCCACGGGAAGGGTAGTGGTGGTAAAAATTGAACCGTTAGGGATATATTCTACACGGAGCCGCGGAGGACTTAACGGGTTGCAGGGGCTCCGGCTTCAAGTGCAGTAGTAGGAACGTAGAAACGGTGGTTTTAGTCAGTAAGAGTCCGACACTCCCTCTCGCCTCACCCGGGCGGGAGAAGTCATTAGATGATTTTCTACCAACAAAAAAAGGCTATATATTCCACCAACAAAAAGTATTAACTGGTTGTGGCAACTAAGCGGACACCAGGTGAGTAAGTCTTTATAGAGCTGTATACGTTTCGTTGGTAACGGCGGCTGGTAGCACCGCAATGGTGTACCAGTAAAATACAGCCCTTATACTCTGCCATTACTCGGCAAACAACGAGTAGAGGTCTCGCGGAATATTAACTCGTCGAGTACCGGTTTTGCAGACACAATTATAGAACAATAGGTTGCGGTCACCGGTGACCGCTTGGTATTTGACAGTTTAAACTAGTTCTACTACTACTAGAAACCAAAGCAAAACACAATATTCTTATTTTATCAGCTTCTTAGGCATATAATGAATTCAAAAACTTTGCTCATAGTATCAAACGGGTACAGTAGTGTAATAAGCGATAGTGTAAATATATAACGTGTTCCCTGTTTATATATTTAGCACTGACACGTCGCTCACCGTTATTTCATTCATTTTTAAACACTGAGCCGGGTTTATAGTGTGCGAGGTAAGCGATGCCCGAAGATCTTGTTTGAAGTTGCAAAGTTATAGCAAATTGCATATAGTAACAGAACTGTATTATGTATAAGACAACATTTTATTTAAAAGTCCGACTAAAGAACACTTAAATATAGAATCTATTGAGAAATAGCAAAGACAATATGGGGCTTAAACTTCATTCTACGCGTGGTATTCGTCTGATGAAAGTATTTAGAAAACATTTCATTTGATTATGTCTTGCTATTACCTGTAGTTGCTGGTGAACCTGTCGAATTATTCCATGACACTTATTTAGCTAGATAAATATTATTCACGAGACTTCAACTGCGTTTTGAGGGGGAACAATATCCAATGACTGTTTCCGCCTTGGGTGAGTGTCAGACTTCTACTGACTAATAACCACCTCGTTCTTACTCCTGCTTCGAGCCGACTCCTGCCCCAGCAACCCGGCACCTAACAGTGTCGATTTTTCCAACGCCATATACATTTTAACTGAAGAATATCTTTGAATATTTGAAAATTTTTCAATGCTAAAAACTTAGTCTTCCTTAGTCTTCTGCGGCCAACATATGGAGTTGTGTTAGCCGTTTTATATCAAATGAGTATCGTCTTGCAAGGCAGACACACGAATCTCAATAACTCGTCTACCCACAATTTCTCAGAATCATTTTATAATTAATACCTTTTTCTTTTTAGGTGTCGGTACGGTACACATTTTTTTTATATTTTACGTCCTTCTTATTAATATTATGCTGGCCACACTAACGTCAACGTCAATGCCGATTATGGCGATGTTTACTACGATAATTATTGCGATAATTTTAACGCGATAAAGTGGGTGGATACACTTGAAATTTCAACGTGAATACCCATCATGCCAAACGGCAATGTGAATTTCGTTGTCAAATTATCGCGTTGACTCGTGGCTACACCTACGGTGGACGTGCATTATCGCGATAAGCAATGGCATTTCTCGTTGTTGTGGCCCGGGCATTATAAATGCAAAATATTGTGACTTTGTGTGTTTATCGACCGAATACTGAAAGGTTGCCATCTCTGTCATGTTACAAAGAGCTTTTGTGATAGAACTATTCTTAAGTGGGACTTAACATTTAGTAGTGTTTCAGTATTTGGGCGTATGTGTATAGTTGTTACTCAATCAGGGTAAAACGACTGAAGCGATCTAAGTGGAAGGAAGAGGGGTCTACAATAACATGCACGATACAATTCAAATAAATACATCCCACAAAACCGCGGGCGACGTCGCTGACGCTTTTGTTAGCAGTATTATATATATTTTATGTAAAGTATACTATTTACGTGTCTAGCTTAGGAATCTGATTAAAACTCATAATATAGAGAAATTCTGACAGCTTTTCTTTTTTCTCCGTTAGAGCGAAGACGAGTGCAAAATAGCCGACCTATGTGTACACGACAAGGTGCCAATGTGTGCGATCGACTCTTGTGGCGAGATGAGAACTTTTATAGACATTTGTGACATGCATGAGTTCAACTGTGACAGCAAGAAAGGTAATAAACAAAAGTTCCTATTTAGGTATACAGCACCATTATCATTGAAATAAAAATACATAGAAATATATCGAATCTGGAACCGGAGACAACTTAACACGTTACCAGGTCTCCTTAAATGCTTACGAATTTTTACATTTATTTTATTAGTAACTTAGCTTCTACCTGCGACGCCGTACGCGAACTCCAGTATTTTTTATATTTGAAAATTCTTTAGATAAATTGTATTTTATGTCCATGTCCTGGTTTTAAGCTACCACCAATTTCACCACCAAATCGGTTATGCTGTCCTTAAATTATAAGTGTTGTAACAACCCCATGTTTTTTACATATATACTAGCCTCTACCCGCGACATCGTACGCGCAATCCCGTTTATTCCCGTTCTCGCTCTAGATTTTCGGTGAAAAGTAAAAGAAAACAGTATTGAATAAAAAGTATCATATGTCTGTCTCCTGATTCTAAGCTCCTTAACATCCCCACCAATTTTCATCCAAATCGATTCTACCGTTCCTGCGTTATAAATAGCGTAACTAACACGACTTTCTTTTATATATATGTATTTTCTTTTTATAGATTTCAAACAGAGACCGATACACGAGTGCTGGGTGACCTGTAAGCGAGGTCGTTCCTTCAAGAGGGCAGAATTCAATGACTGCAGCAAAAACACCAAAACTAGGACTGTAAATCTAGCTCAGACATAGCACTAGACCTAGGTTTGGGATTGGAGTTAAGATTACATATATAGTGATTAGTGAATAAAATATAACTATATTGTTTATTTCATTTCTTAGATCGTAAAATATTTAATCATTTAATGTTTTGAATATGTCACAAAATAATCGAGTAAACCCTATTTGATGTAATATAAAAATAGTGTGCTTTAATGAAGTCGCGGAGAACCTAACGGGTCACCGGGGCTCCGGCTCGACGTGCAGGAAAAGGAACGGGGTGGTTTTTAGTCAGTAAGAATCTGACACTTCCTCCCGCCTCACCCAGGCGGGAGCAGTCATTCGATGATAAAATGCTTTAATGAAACTAATAACTTATTTTATCGTACAAAAAGTACTATGTGCGTTTAAAACCAGTTGAAATGTTGACATAATGCCAATTAAAGAAAGATGACTTTAAATCAAAATGGCTATGGCTAAAAACTAAATTTTTGATACTTTGCACAACTCCGAATAGATATTGATTTGATTTGAGATTCGTGTTTGAATCAATAAATGAGGCGATCATTGCAGCTATTGTTTTTCATCACAAATCTTGAAAATTTGAATATATAGTTGTCAAATATGTCTGCGAGGTTTTTCATTTATACGGATTTTGGGAAAATGTCAAAATTATTCACTTTTTACGTTCGTATTTTAACGTTCAATTCAGAAGGGAAATAAAACTTCGTATAATATAAATGAAAACATGAATTGAAAGTAAAATAAACTATCTTTTCTCTACTCTAGGTCTCACATCAAATAATTTCAATTGAACAAACTGACTATAAAGTTTTCAAAGCGTTTTATTGCTTTTTCAACGGTTCCATAAAATATTCACCACTTTAATATTAAAAAACGAATTTCATTTTCGTACTGTTCTCATTTGAAACTGGTAAAAGAATTTGGAGAATGTGAAAAAATGGGTTTTCATTAGAACCTTTTTGTTCTAGAATGTTCCAAAATATTTTTATTCTTTGTATTTTTGTTCTTAGTGTTGTGGACTGTGTTTGTGGTCATGTTGATGGGGCTAAGGTGAGATGTTTATTTTATTGTTATCTTATTATTGCTTAGAAGAGGTTATGAATTATAAGAGTACCTAGTACCAAACTTACTAAGATATGAAAAAGGCGTGTAAGACGTATCCATATAGAAGTGATCCTTTCCATGTTGTGTGACTGAGTGTTGTGTGTGTAGCTCCGGACCGGAAGCTCAATTATCATTCTCCAATCTCCCCAATCCCTAAATCCCCAACCCCCGACAATCATCAAACCAGCCAATCAGAGTGCCGAACGCGTACTCGTTTCGAATATCTTAAACGTAAAACATACTCGTACTAAGACCTCTGGTGTCCATGGGCGACGCCGATTGCTAACCCTCAGGTGATCCGTCTGCTGGTTTACCGGCTTATGTCATAAAAAAACAGATGGTACACCCACAAATCGACTGAATATCCCTTTACACTTCAAAGAGTTTGAAAAACTCCACATTTAATTATGTGTGTAAATTAAAATTAAAATCGTACTTTTCCAGTTGGAAGAAGAATGCAAGATAGCAGATATCTGCCGACACGATCAGGTGCCGATATGTGGCATCGACTCTTGCGGGGAGATGAGAACGTTCATCGATACTTGTGATATGCATGAGTTCAACTGTGATAGCAGAAAAGGTAGGTATCTATTTAAACAAACTGGCAGATTAGGTTACTATTGCCTATTGAACCCTGTACAAAAGGACATAGTTTTCACCATTTAAAGATAATGGTAATCACTGATCATGTTGTTAATAATGTAATATTAAATATATATAACTACATAAATATTTACAACTTAAAATTAACTACAACTAAACTATTAAATAAAACGAAAGTAAAAAAAGGAAACAACAAAAATTATACCCTCAATTTAGGCGTCAAAGTATTCGTCCGCAGCATTATCACAGGGTAACGTTCCCAAAATACTGGCAGCATTGCCATGTTGAATGGCAATGCTTATTTTCTGTCCGAAGAAAGCCAGCCTTCTGGTCACGTGTAGAGTCGACTGGCCTACGGGCGATATCTTTAAAAACAGAGTGTGCACTGGGACCCCATGGCCCAAAGTGTTTTGTGTGTTAATAATGTCATTTCGTATGATGATGATGTTTGTCTGTTCAACAGTAAGATAATTGCGTATAATACAGATCTTGTCTCGTTTCGTCTCGTTTTAATTACATTCTTTAACTGATTTTTAATATTGGATCTAATCTATTAATTGATGCGTCAATTGCCAACTTAAAAGGGATCTAAATAGCTTAACATTTAAGCAGAAATTGTTATTTTCGGCAACACAGTGTTCAAAACCCAGACGACAGGGCAATAAACTCACAATCGTTTACCTTACAAGTCTTCTACAGAATGTTAAGGGTGTATACAGAATTACAAATATAGAAAGAACTTACAAAGTTATTATTATTTATTATTTTATTTATTCATATTGCACTATGTACATATAATAGCAATTTAAAACGTTACAAAATTTAGTGTCAGCTGAAATTTATAACTATTACTTAGAGCTATAACTATACCTATATATTAACTATTCTATAGTATTTTTCCTAATCATTATTTAAGGGATTTAAACTGTCAAACACCAAGCGGTCACCGGTGACCGCAACCTATTGTTCTATAATTGTGTCTACAAAACCGGTACTCGACGAGTTAATCACATAGGTAGTGATAATGTCACCCTGTGACTTACTGTGAACATATCTAAAATCTAAATGTACTACCACTTTACCACAAAAATAATAACAATAATAACCTGGTTACTTACTTGTAATCAGGTAAACAAGTAATGCCATTTATGATAGGAAAAACGGTTCAAAAAATTACTCCACCCTCCACACACAACCAGTCGTTGTCATGTTTTGTGGCTGACGTGGTAATGTTGATTATAGTGTTAAAAACTACGTGGATCTGTTCAATGTACATTTCATGTAGTTTACTGAAATTCATCTCTAATCCTGAGGTCTTAGAGTTCAACTTCTGGTTCAAGCATTATGAAGGCTTTAATGAATAAATCAGACTACAAATACAAACAAAAAGATAAAGCTTGTTAGTGTGTAACTATTTAGGTATAAACATGAATACAAAAACAAGCTGACCAAAGAGGACTTAACGGGTCGCCGAGGCGTCGACTCGAAGAACAGAAGTATTTACAGAGTGATTTTTGATTAGTAACTCTAACTTAAAGTCACCCTGTACGTCTAACACTCCCGGCTCACCCAAAGCGAGAGAAGTAATTGGATATTTTTCCCCTCAAAAAAAACTATTAATGTATGAACGCAGCCTTATAAAGTGCTTCTATTTAATACTCATTTCATGTCCACTTTTAGAAGTAGGTAGAGGCACCGACTTTCAGAGCTTTCGAGAAACGTCTGAGAAGCGACTTCTAATCAGCGTCGGTTGATTACCTCTCTTTTATCTTAAAATTACTTTCGTTTGAACCAAAATAGATCAAAATTTGTTGAAATAGGATCTATTTTTAGATTTAGTTAGGTATTATTTTGGACAAACGTATTTAACTGATCATCATTATAACATCACACCCGAAGGGAAAGGCAGAGGTGCACATTATTGCACTTAATGCCATTGTACAATGTGACAGTGAGTGTCACTTTTTATGTTATGTTATGAGTCCCATGTAATATGGTACCTAAGCCTATTGCCATATACCGGGCACATTTCCAGACTCCGTGCTACTACTGAGATTTGTTTAAAAACCAAGTAGTACTTTGCCCGCCCCGGGAATCCAACCCGGGACCACTAGCCCGGCAGACGCACTACCGACGACTCGGCCAACGAGGCAGTCAAGTCTAGAATATAAATATGATTATTTAAATAATACCAAAAATAGTATACTTCAATGCTAATTATTTTCTAAGCCAATACCAAAGTCAAAAACATTTTTTCGATGATGAAAATACTTTTAAAAGGTCTAATAGTTGTTTAGGCGAAAAGACAAGGGAGTGTGGGAATCTTCCCTCACTCAACCACTCCGGTCGCCATCAGCACCTATGAGGACCACGGGGTTCTTTGAATGCTGGCTTTAGTTCTTATCAATCAAATCAATAATCAAAAGGAGTTAAGTACCTAACAATCTAAAGCATTAATTCGTAAATCTACGAAACATTTTTATTATCTCTTCTATGCGTCATGACGTGATTCTTAAACAATAGTATTGAATAGCCGAAGTAAGTGTCAAGTACCGCTTAGCTATGACCTCAAAGCGGTTCAAATTTCCTTTTATTTTCTTAGACTTCCTAACTCCCTGAGTACCTACTTGAACTGGTTTTGTTGGACAAAGCTGATATCTTTGAAAAACAATATTCTTTGACATATAAAATACTGTGACATAAATAAGACGTGGTGTTCATGTGTAGGTATACAGTTTTTTTTAAGGGGGGCAATCATCGAATGACTTCTCCCGCCTAGGTAAGGCGAGAGGGAGTGTCAGACTCTTACTGACTAAAAACCACCCCGTTCCTACTCCTGCACGTCGAGCCGGAGCCCCAGCAACCCGTTAAGTCCTCCGCGGCTTCGTATCGGCATCAGCCTAATCAGTAGTGGTCTGATGGCTCTTTGAGGTAATATAGTTTAGCTTGCGAATATCAACTAGAGTCCTGCGCACATTATAGACTATTAAATCAATTATTGTTCGTACCTACTGCATCATGGGATACGTTTATGCCTATTTTCAATAACATCTCCTAAATTGTAAGGAACCATTGCTAAGATACGCTAAGAATATTTTTGTGGTTGCTGAAAATCTTCTTTGACATTATTCTTCTCTAATCTATAATTATTATATCGATTAAAGATTTCCCCGTAGATATACATAGTCCCTTGTCAACGCAATTCTTAACACTTTGTCTCCTAAGTTATACTATGTTGTTATACCTACTTTGTTGTTTCTATGTCCTTGTCGTTACCCTTTCTAGTCAATTTAATATGGTTTTGTATTACCTATTTAAGTATCTGTATTTCTTTTTATTTTTTTTTTATTGATATATCTCTGTGTGCGTGCCTACTGTCAAATAGATAATTTTTCTTTCTTTCGTCTTTTTTCTAATAAAAAGATGGCAAAAGTCAATTAAATTTTCTTCACTGTCATCAGGCCTCCGATAACTGACGCTCTAAGAATCAATTATTCTGTTTAGTATTAAAATGGTAATTTTCTTTCCAGATTTCATACAAAAACCAGCCCACGAATGTTGGGTAACCTGCAAACGAGGACGAAGCTTCAAAAGACCAGAATTCAACCCTGATTGTGTGGGAAATAAACCGAATACTGTATAAAACCACAAAAATATATCATATAATAGTTTTTAATATTAAATTAATAACATTTTTAACTATTATTATTATTATTTACAAATATAAAAAAAGAATTGAACAATAACTTACTTAGTGTACTTATTGTTCGAGATCACAGATTGATATTAATAAATTATTATTAATTAATATTACTTAATGCCTTCAAGGCCAAACCGGTTTACCTTAACATGCAATCCACTATTATTTACATAAATTAATCAAACGTAAATAGTTGTTTACAAGTTTACACTTAAGAAATTACATAATTATAATTTATGTTCCGATTAATTCTAATATTTATGACTTAGAATATCTTAATTTAATCTTAAATCTATTTTTAACTAGGCATTTGTTTATTATTATACTTAAAATAGACAAGGTGACGAACTGACAAATCTTACACTTACAAATTATTTAAATTATTTATTACACTTATAAATTACATTTAAAAAAACCTACAACAACTATAAATAGAAAATTCCTATAAAATTATTTACATAGCACCCCTAGAAATACATAAATTAAACACTATAAAATCAGCGCAGATTCGGTAGATATAAAACAATAGAAAATAATTCTTATCTAATTCTATATAAAGTTGTAAATAGAAGCCCACTACATTATTCCGACACAAATCATCTACGTACTACAGGCTATTCACAACTACCCACAATTCAGTAAACTACAATTCACCTTAATGGCGGTCCAAGAACCCGGCGCTCTTCACAATATGGTAGATGCTCTCCCGAGGGATCTTCTCAGCTTCTCTTTCAACGACTTGCATCTCCTTGTTGGTGAACCAGGATTCCTTGGCCAATCCAGCAGCTACATGAGGGTTATCATAAAAGTCTCTAGACTTTAATAATTCTCGTGGTAATTGAGCCTCGCTTGCAGCGTTTAGTTCCACTGCAGGATGAGGGTGGATAGCTGATGGAGCCGACACGTACTGCACTCCAATTGGTTGGTACGGCTGGGCGAAGAACAGGCCAGGCCTTGCTTGGACCATGGCTAAGATGGCGGCGGCAATTACGATGAAACGCATTGTGATCTGAAATAGAAGGTAATAGTGAAGATGAGTAAAAGAAGATTCAAATAATGTCTAATCTGTCCTACTCTGTCTTTCTCATTTTCTTTCGAAGAAAACTTAAAAAGGTAATTTATAATTTGTTGAGTTGTTTGTAGAGAAATTTTTTTAAAAGCAATTATTTTGTAGTAAGAAAAAAATGTTTATTGAAATTAATTAATATTTTACAATGAAAATCGAATGATAATATTCACGTAGAACTGGCTTGGATACAGTTTAAAAATCTCTTAAGACGTTACATCGCTTACATCATTAGGATACAGAGGATACAGTTACTACAATAGGAAAGCAGCTTAAGATTTCTTTACAAACAATTTAAAGTTCACGAAACTTTTATACAAATAATTGCATGAAACTAATCGGCTCTTAGTTCCCTATTGTCAAGTTATTTCAGGTATAGACGCTAAATGCAACAACTTTGTTGAAACTTGCCAGTTCTAAGGCAGTATATTTTTTTTTTCAGTACAATCTCCTAAAAGTAAGGTGAAAAATATATCAAGAATATTTGGTTGGCCAAAAAACGACTTTATTTTCTAAACTAAAGCAGTTGGCTCTGAATTTGTGATTCCCTAACACTGAAATACTATTCAAGATAATGTAAACAAAAATACAGATAAAAGAAATTATAATTCTAGTAACAAGAGTCAACGACCGGTACATGGTGTATGTACATTTTAGTGGATTACCTACACATAAGTCAAAGCAATTTAAAAACTATACGACTTAGAATGTTATTGATAATGTTATTGATATTTTTCTGGTAACTGTTGGAACCTTTCCGATCACCTGGTGCCATTTGATCGTAGAATTCAGGGACACCCTATATTAGTGTGAATAAATCGAATAAAGATAACTGTCTTATTTTATTTTCTTCCCTATATACTAAATAACTTATGTAGTTGACTACACATCTACCCACATTAAAAAAAACAACACAATATTAAGGCATGTAAAATAAATAAATCCCCCAAAAGCCACCTTTAACCTTTCGACTTTTCATCAAAGAAAATTATTTGTTCGTACTTCTGTTGATTTATTCAGTTCGTTCATAATTTAGTTATCTTCAAGATAAACAAGAAAGCGTGGGTGGTTATTATTAACTTGTACAGTGGAATTATTCAGTTTAATTTAACTGACAACTGACTTAGACCTCTATTAGTTATCCTTCAAGTGTTTTGGATTAATTTATGTATTCCAAATGTTGGTAGAGACAAGAAATTATAATGGTTTTAATAAAATTATGAGTCTATTATTTATTTATTTATTATATACATAAAGTACAACACATAGATGTTTACAATGGAAGTACAAAGGTTCCACCTACTCCTATTGGAATTTATTTATGGTAGAAAAAATTAACTTAATTTGGTGAAAAGTGGTTTGTCTATTTCTTCACTGGCTCTTGTTAAATTTTGAATATGTATATTGCTGTATTTAATTTAATAAAATACTTATTTCCATATATTAATTTAAAATTCTCTATAAATGACATTTTTAAATACTAGGTACTTATAAAATAAAAAATAATATTTAAAAATATAAAAAATAGGAGCCGACCAGTAGCGGGAGCATGATCCAAGCTACCGGTGGTTAGGGCTCTAGAGCCAGAAACCTCCTCACGATACGTGCCGTTTCTAGAAGAACTGCCTTCTGTATCAGGCCCTTGATCCATTAATTATATACTTATTATTATGTTTTATCAATAAAAGTAGGTAATCGGTACCTATACTCTCTCTTCTAGGATTCTAGTTTATTTTGGAAAATCACAATCGAAAACAGGAGAAATTTAGAATCCGCAAGAAATGACCTAAGATTTTTTTATTAAAAAAACATTGCCCCATAAAATGATTTTCTCCTGTGTCGTGGGTGCATTTACAAATATACAAGTTTACATATATATACATCACACCAGACCCGGAACAACAATCTGTAGATCACACAAAGACTTGTTCCGTGCAGGAATCGAACCCGCGACACGATGCGAGGCAGCCAGTTATCTAGCCATCGCACCAATCGTGCAGTCATTTAGTAGTAATAGTAATTACCTAGTACCTACTGAGAAAGTCAGTTATTACAACCGATTGCAATTTATATTATTTTTGTCGATTTTCTACCGAAATTAAAGTTATTCGTCATAACTAAATTTTTGTTCCAAAACAGATTCACTCTTTACTCTATGAATGAACATTTATCAGAACCTAATTTTAATCCAATATCATCACTGATTAATCCACTAAAAAACTTTCGTAAACATATTAAACCGCCACTTAACCACCTAAAACCAAACACACACACACACACACACAAGTAACAAACACAGAGACGTAACACTTACAATTTTCACGGTCACAGAATCGACGCAAGCGCAAGTTGTACTGCGCGCGGGCACGAATGACGACCAATATATAGCCGAGCCATATAACCTTCTGCGTGCTTCCGGGACAGCTCTAGCCAGGGAACGTGCAGTATCGCTGACAAGGATTTCTTACAATAGTTACATCACTAAACGGATCAAGAGTTTAAGAGACGTGTGAATAGGGCTGTCACTTTGATCGCTTTGTTGGTTTAAGTTGTAGGGAGGATAATGGTTTTACTTTCGGACTTAAACTTCAAACGATGAGCTCTAGTAAATTTTAAAAATACATTCAGCCTGAAGGCTGAATGTATGAATGTAAAAGAAAAATGAATTTTTCTTTTACAGAACTAGATATAATGAAAATTGCATTTAACACTTTGAGTACCGTCATTATAGACACAATTAAAAAATGATGAGTTGGCCAGCAATTATTCAAGATCACCATTTCATTCGGATTAAAATTGAAGGATCGTTATTAAAAAAAAAATACATTTTATTTTTTTACTGCAGTAAAGAATCCCAATCTCAAGGTTAGAGAAAAAATGCACTACACTACACTACCTAAAATAGCAATAGTATTAAAACCTCAAATAATAGGTTACAATACATGTATTCCACTCAAGTCCCGTAAAAAAATTAATTTACCTTAAACACAGCCCTGGAGAAATTTCGTGGTACGTGTATTAAAGTATTAAAGCTTACAAAAGTCTACCGTGAGTGGAGTTGTTCACAAAATGTGGGTAGACTAATACCGTAGCTCGCTCATATTACCTACTTTACCTATTGTTTGTTCTCTCGTTGAAAACATCAAAATTTTGTATAGAAATTTCAGCCATTGTATGAATTCTGTGAAGTATTATGTTGCAATGGTTCGTTGGTATAATATTACAAATTAAATGAATTATAATGTGGTCGTAGTGATCAGAGGTTATGAATATGAAAGTTTATGTATTTTTAACACAACATAACATCACGCCTTTTATTACCGAAGAGGTAAGCAGAGGCGCATTAGGGCACTTAATGTCACTGTACAATGTAACACTCACTTTTGACTATTTATGTAATGAGTCCCATGTAATAAGGGGTGAGCCTATTGCCATATACCGGTCACAATTCCCGACTCCGCGCTACTATCGAGATTCTTTAAAACCCCGTAATAACTTGCCCGACCCGGGAATCGAACCCGAGACCGCTTTGTGGTCGCACTAGCGACCTCTCGGCAAACGAGGCAAAAAATATATAGATTTCTCAAGATTCCTTTCTATCTACATATAAGAAGTTTATATAGTATTGTAATATCGTTGGTGGTTTACTAAAATTACCACAATTTAAATTAAATGTTGACATTATTTTATACATTGTACGGCTAATAGTTTAGACCTTTTATTAAATGTCACGAGGTCTCAATGATCACTCCTGGGTTTTTACGTAACAATTGGGACATTTTCTTTCAATTTTCATTATTAATCATTGAGAAATCTACAAGCTCGTTAGGTTAATGATTCAATGAATGAAATAGTCCACAATCACATTATAATTATTATAAATGTGAAAGATTCTTTATTTAGATGTGTGTCCGTCAATCATGCTGAAACTACATGACATAACATAACATAATGCCTTTTATCCCCGAAGCGGAAGGCAGAGGTGCACATTATGCCATTGTACAATGTAACACCCTCTTTTCACAATTTATGTTATGAGTCCCATGTAATAGCGGGTGATCCTATTGCCATATACCGGGCACAATTCCAGACTCCGTGCTATTACTGAGAATTTTTAAAAAAAACCCAATAATACTTTGCCCGACTCGGGCATTGAACCCGAGACCCTTTGCCTGGCAGTCGCCCTTGCGACCACTCGGTCAACGAGGCAGTCAACGCTGAAACTACTGAACAGATTTTAATGAAATTTGGTACACAGGCAGCATGCCCATACGCTGCCTGTAGCGATAGGATATTTATTCCAATTAAATGATCCTTTGAAAAAAACAGGAATACGTGGGCAAAGCCGCGGGTAATATAGCTATTAATATATGAAACAAAAACACCAACAAAATGCAAAAGACAATTAAAACCGGTTTTGTCTTATGTCCAAGGATTTAATTATTATTTATATGCTACGATCTATTAATAGCTATGTAAGAAAAAACTGAACGGAATTTACTTACAACCAGGAAGGTAAGTATAAGAAGTATTTAATTACGACCACGGTTGGTACGGTGGCTGGGCAACAGGCTGCGGCGCTACGTGTCGCGGGTTCGATTCCCGCACGAATTCCTTGTGTGCTCCACAACTTGTTGTTCCGGGTCATGTGTATGTTAACTTGTATGTTTGTAAACGTTCCATGACACAGGAGAAAATCCGAGGGTGGGGCAAAGCTTTAAAAAAAAATTCTTGAAAATTTGAAGGTCATATCGGTTCGGAAATACCACCAACGAGCAATCATTCTACAATTTTGCCGTGAAAACTGTCTCCGTAAATTTGTCATAAATATAGACCAAAACTTTAAAGTTAAATGAAATCAGTTTTTCGAATATAATAATTTAAAAAGCCAACAGAAATTACTTAGACCATTAGCCTTGTGTATTTTTATATGGTAATTGTTAAAATTAGATCAGACCAATTTTCTCTGAGATTGTTAAAACACAATGCAAGGGCGCATTAAAAACAATATACCCCATCAAAACAGAAAACTCGAACAATATTCCATAACCATGTAAAATTCAATTGTGTAACATATAATAATATTATATGATATAGTATAATGCCCGCCTATTATGTGAGATACCATTATACGAGTTGGTATAATCTTATCCTCGACATTATTACGTATCACGTGAGAAATCTACGCGGTGTAACAAGGCTTTTAATTCAATTTATTATATCAAGATTGTATTGTAGAATTATAATTTTGATCTACATGTATGTATCGTCACGTCTGTTTTGTCCTTGAAGATTTGGGTAAAGGTAGAACTTGTAGTGGTGTGTAGGGAACTAGTGACAAAAAAATACAAAAATAAAGGAATCTACGAAAAGAATGCAAAATTCATTTTAGTTTTTATTTTTTTGTAGTTATTTCAGTGAAAACCGACAGCGGTAAAATTACATATAATTGAAGTGTAGTAAAATTAATTATAGAATCGTCTCCTGTTCTCGCCACCATCTATATCACTAAAGAATCTTATCAGAATTGGTGCAACAATTTAGAGGCACAGACCTTACAAACGCTCTCACTTTCGCTTTTAACATAAACTGAGGATTAAAAGACAGTTCAATGTCCAGTGGACATTGAATTGTCCACAATAATGGTATTTCAATATATATTCGTTTCGGTGACAAACAGAAGCGTTTTCTTACTCAATACTAAATACTGTTTATTTAAATGACAAGGTTACTAGAAGAAGGTTTGCAAATATTTTGAAACTCCACGGAGTCATGTGATCGTGTGATACTCGGTCAAGTCCGAGGTTATGTACGTGTTTATAGTTCGTTAATATTAATTTTGATTATAAATTAATGTTCATATAATTAGTGTGTGCGAAAAGGGTGTTAGATTTTTTCGTGGTCAGAAAAAGGTCATAATATGTCTTAGCTCAGTTTTGACATAATGTATATTTCCCGAAAGATAATAATAAATAACAAGCTCTTTTTATACGTCAGTCTTCTGATTCATCGTATTATTCTGAGAATTCCATAATAATTTAATATAAAGTTTACATTACTGAAGGCGTTTTTATATTGTCTTTTAAACAAAAGACAACAAAAGAAAAAAAGTTCGATTTGTAGGTTATGAAAACTCATAACCTACAAATCGAACTCATGAACATGTTATGCTTGCGGCCATTAGATATCCAATGAGGTCACCCAATTTTTACCAGTTTAATATGTTATTACCCCCATAACATAACCACATAACTGCTTCACCAATCACGTCATTAGGCTCATGCAATATATAGCGAGCGTAATTGCATATTGCACTGAGGAAAAATACACTATTTACTATAACTTAGTATTATGCAATACAATTTTTTAAAATGACTACGTCGTCGGCCGAGTAGTCACAGGTGCGACTGCCGGGCAAGGGGTCTTGGGTCCGATTCCCGGGTCAGGCAAAGTATTGCTGGGTTTTCTAAAAAAATGTCAGTGGTGTCCGGTATATTGCAATAGGCTCAGCCCCTATTACATGGGACTCATAACATAAATAGTGAAAAGTGGGTGTTACATTGTACAGTGGCATAATAAACACGTCTGCTTACCCCTTCGGGGATAAAAGGCATGATGATTATGTTAATTTCTGAAAATCTACCGAAACTTGCTTGGCTTGCAAATGATAAGATGATACAACAGTCGGAGACATACTTCAACCCTATAGCTGGCTCTAGTGGAGTGATATCACGGCTTCATAGACAACAGACATGCACGCCATATGAATAAAGTTAACGGAGGCCGTAATAACTCCAGCAATGCACTACTTAGTGTTACCGATGTCAAAGGTCCATGGGTCACTTACCATCAAGTGGTATACTCATTTGCTCAATCTGATCTTACTAATATTATTATAAATGAGAACGTTTGTGAGTGTATTTGTGTTAGGGAGGAGGAACAGAGGTAGATCACCGTCTGGAATAACATGTAGGCTACTCTTTCCCCTCGAGTATGTGAGCGTAACCGCGGTCATAAGCTAGTATTCCATAAAAACCAATACTAATTTTTTTGATGTCAAACCGAAGTAAAGGTAGTGAAGTTTAAAAATGTGAACTGTAATATTATGCATCATTTCAAGATTGGACCTTGATAAACATCGCAATTATTAATAACTTCCGAATTATAATACCCTATCAATGTTATTTCGATCTATTAATATTATAACATTGTCCCTATTTTAACCTTTTAAACAGTGATTTCAAATTCGTCTGCCAAGACCATTCTCTGCCGTCTAGACCATTATTTGTTGAGGTTATGCCGATAACTTAACGGGTTGCCGGGGCTCCGGTTCGAAGAACAGAAGTAGGAACGGGGT